CTTCTTTTTTCCGCTTTTTTCTTTTTCTGTATCTTAAAATTGGAATAAATATTCTTTAAAAATAAATAAATAAATAAATCTAAAAGATGGATCAAACTGTGCGCGCCGCTAGGCGCGCGCCACTGCCCTGCAAGCTGCCTCAACAGAAATCCTGCAACCACCTGCCTCAACAGAAACCCTGCCCCCTCTGACCTTTGCACAGGGAGAGCAGCTAATCAAGCACAAAGAAACACACACACAAGAAAACCCTTTTTGCTCCTTCTTCAGCTGCTGCCCTGCAAGTCAAGGACCACCAGACCCAGATCTGGTCCCAGAACAATTCATGGGTGGGGCTAATGTTTAGTTAGTTTCCCTCAACCCCCAATTAAATGTACGGTGGAGAGGAGGAGGGAGGACATGCTGCATCTCCTACACCAGGCATAGGCAAACTTGGCCCTCCAGACGTTTTGGGACTACAACTCCCATCATCCCTAGCTAACAGGACCAGTGGTCAGGGATGATGGGAGTTGTAGTCCCAAAACATCTGGAGGGCTGAGTTTGCCTGTGCCTGTCACACACACACACACACACACACACACACACCACTAACTGAAAGCAGAAAGGGTTTAGTCCTCCAATCCTGCTGGGGTCTGCTTCCCCAGTGCATTCCTTGAAGCATCCCGACCCAGTGTGATCCAGGGTTGCTTCAACCCAACTACACTCAAGCTGTGATCTCCCCAAGCTGGCCCAATTCAGTTTGGGCTTGGGCCAAATCTGGTGCACATTCCTATGTTTAAAAATGAAACTGGTTGGCAATATTTCAAAAACCAAAACTGATAATCCTGCAATGTTGGGTTGGAAACTGTTTTATGCCTGTGTTGTTTGGTGCATGTTTCCCTTAGTGCCTTCCACAAATGAGATCCTGGGAGTGGCAGTCTATACACTTAGTCACATGGCATGCAGCAAACAAAACACTGATGACTAGATGCATGTGACATGTTGATGTCTAGATCCTGACAGTGTAGTGTTCTCCATCAGAGAGCTGAAGAAGAAATAAGCGAAGTAGGTCAACTCAGCCAATGAAATACCCCATAGCATTTGATGATGATACATATTCACATGTTATTCACATGAAGCAGGTTCCTTGCATTGAAGGGGCTGCAGCTCTGATTGCATCCTCGCTTATGCCTGCTGTATAGCCCTGACATTCCTGTGTTGGACATGGGATTCTGTATCAGGGAAGCCTACATACATAAAGCTCTACACGAACAGGCTTTCATATGTGATTGAGCAGGATTCCAGAATGTGTAGAAGCTGATGTGTGCAAAGTTCTAGACATGTAGACTTCCTTGCAGATGTTCATGCTCAATACATGGACTTCATGGCTGGTGCCAATTGTTGCACACAATGCGAGGGGCACATCCAGCAGTGCAGTTTCATAGCCCCTTCACATATGAGTAACATTTGACTTATGGTGTATTTATTTACCATCACATGTATTTGCCTCCCACCTTTCAGTGCAAATTTGATTGTGCTTCCTTACAAAATGATCTTTTTCAGCTGAAAAAATAGTAAACCACCCAAGGCCAAGTAAGTTTCATAACTGAGCAGACCTTTCAGGCAGCTGCTCCTTGACTCAAGTTTAGCATTCTGTTGTGACTTAATAATGATTATAGAAAAAGTGGTGTTTTGTTTGAAACATTTTATCACCATGCTGCTAAAAAGCCATATAATTCAGAGGTGAGAATATACTGCTGATAATGTGGACAAATA